TATCCCCCTTATCACTATCGATCCATCTCCGCGATCGATAATCCCGAAGCGAGTATTACCGTACCCCCAGCGCGATCATCGATGATATGCGCACCCGGGGACGATGCGATCAGTTTGACCTTGACGTAGGCGTGGTCTGTTCGCCCCTCCCACTTCTTCAGGTGTGTTCACATCCGTAATTGGCACACACACGCACTCCACTCCACATACACACACGCATCCACAATACGCGTCGCTGATACTGTACTTCTTTGAGTCGGAATTGGGGCTCCCACTCAACCGCCAACTGCTCTTGGGCCTTTGGGTCCCAACTGGAATTTTTCTAGAATTTCTACTGGATCCCGATCGGAAGTTTGCAGCTCCTATAACTGGTTTGGTTCTTCTCTTTGGTGATTTGGCTTATATGACTGACATGCATCATAAAGCTAGGTTACCAAAGCTAAGCGCCTGACACTAATTCCTTCTTATTATTATTTTCTTTTTCCACTATTTTTTTTCTACCGTATCGTAACAGCTTCGACAAGAACATTTTATTGCTTTATCACCAGTTATTTTACCACTCGGAAGTTCCATATCACTTTCAAATCAATGCCAAGGCTCTGTCCAAATCTTTGATCAAATCGTCGGCATTTTCCAGTCCAATACTGAAAAGATTTACATTTTTTTACAGTAAATATTGACAGTGAGGAGATTACAAACAACTCGAGAAGATTATTTGCTTCTGTTAAAAGTGTGTAAGTGATAATATTCTCATTGTGTGTGTATTTTTATCAAAGACGGTGAGGAATTTTGTTTTGTGTACCGTCCACTATCACATGCTATCTTCTTTGCGTCAATGCAGTCAATGCAGAAATTTCGGTCGTAAACACTTTCTGGATAGAAAAATTTTCTTGTTGAAAAAGAGTTGGGGTTGAAAATGGGGCAAAAAAGATTTCCCGATATGGATTTTCCTTGTAAGGAATCTTCGGCATCCTTTGTAACGGCTCTAGCTTCACTAGTCTGAAATTTCTATCCGAGTTCCAATGAAAAGAAAACCATATCGATTTTTCTTATTTTTCTTCGACATTAGTGGAATTTCCACTTGCCATGGTATTGCATGCGGTCGCTTCCTATTCAGGAACGAGTTCCTTCTAATACAACTTGCGAACAAGTCAGCCAACTTAAAACATTCTTGAACACAAATCTATTATCGACTTTTTAGCCTAAAAAGTTTTCTCCAGACACTAATCAATAATCGATAATTCTGGGCAATTTACAACTTTTGCAAGAAACTTTCTCATGCTACGGGTACAAAAATAGATTTGGAAAATGTCTCCATTTCTCACCTTAGTCTTATCAGTCCTGGAGGGACCATTGGCTCCTTAACTTCCCTCAAAAGTTCCCCACCATGTGTCA